GGATCGCAACCCTCAGTGTTGCCCCCGTACCGGACCGGGGACCGGCAACGGGATCGCAACCCTCGGAGCTGTTCCCGTGCCTCGCTCAGCCAGTGAGCGGGAACCGGTCTGTATGTGGGATCCGAACCCTCGGGCGGGAGCGCCCGCCGCGCTTCCCAAGTGGCGCACTTATCCAGTGCGCCACCGGGCCGGCCCGCTTTTTAAAAGCACAAATGGAATTACACTATAAATATCATTTTAACTTGCCTTCTTAATTTAATGGTTTATCTTGGATTTTTTTTTTTTTTTTGTCTATACTAAAATACTCCTAAAACTAGAATGAGCGAATAAGTAAGGGTAATTATAGCTCATTGACCAGGGTATTGAAAGATAATTTTAAAAGAGAATTTGTAATTTCCTTTGATTTTAAAAGTTCTACTCCTTTAGTGATAAAAAATCCTCACGAAAATACATAAGTATATTTATTATAGTCATCCATATAATACTTTATGGATGAGAGAAGCAGAGAGTTTGCTTCATTAATTAAATTTTGAGACAATACTGTGTTTTATTTTAAAATTTATTTTGAAAGTAATAAATTTAAAAAATACTTAGCATGATTTCTCCTCATAGCACATGTTTGACAAACCTTAACTTTTTTCTCCTGAATAAATATAAGACAAATTGGTTTGTTCAAACAGATTATTCTTGGAGAAATTTGAATAAGCTTGTTCTAAGAAAACTGGGATGAAAATAATCAAGAGTGTGTAGTGTTGCAATTGATTTTTTTTTTTAAGGTAAAGAAGGAAAAACATGTGATGTAACTGCTCAGATGGTGCTGGTATGTTGTTGGAGAAGTATGAAGGAAGTTGCTTTACTTTTAGGCACGCTGTGCCAGCTTCTACCCATGCAGTCTGTGCCAGAATCTTCTGATGGATTATTAACTGTGGAGCAGGTAAGATAGATGTTTATTCCACCAGGTATAATTTTTGGTCAAAGCATAAATCACAAGCTTTTATTTATAATCCAACTTAGAAAAAAAAAGGTTTTGAATTTTTGTTGAATAAAATTCTACAGATGTCAACTGAAGAAAGTTTATGGTAATTTAGAATATTAGACCTTGCAATACATTTCAAAATTATGGCATTTTTAGAAGCATTTTTATTTTTCTAAGGTATATAAATATCTAGTTTTATCTCACTTTTAACTGCATTATTATTATTTTAATATTTATTTCTCCATTTAACATTCATAGACTTACATTTTAGCTGAAATTATCTATTTAGTAAATTTCCACAAATCTCTTAAATTTTGCAGAGGTAAAAAGTAATATATTGGTTGATTATGGATCTCATGTTTCCCACTACATCAATAATGAAGTTGTAGTCACTTTGGTTTTTTTTGGCTGACTTTTATTTTGAGACCACAAAGTTAGTTCACCATCTGGGACTGTTCAAGTGACTGAGTGCAGTGTTTACAAGAAATTAGCTTACCACAAGCATTTCATTTGGAAATATTTTAGATTTATTGGATTTCTGTTTTTAATTGATTCGCTGTTCCTTTCCATATGGTTTCAACAAATTTATTTCCCACCATTTTCCAGCAAAGATATAAAACATGTACTTTCATTTTTAGCCTTTTTCAAATAAAGATAATTTTTTCCCTAGGGTGTTAAAACATTCAAGAACAAAACAAATATTGTAGTATGCTAATGCTGATTATTTCTGTAATAACTGTGTGAGTAGTTCTATGGCAGTAATGCTAATGTTTTTATTTTCACACTGTGGCTCATGTGCTTGCATCTGGATAACACCTGGGCGTGTGATGTTGCAAGGCCCTGAGATGGAGAAAGGCAAAGGCAAACAGTACACTGCGGCATCATTATATTCCTTATTCTCTTCCAAATCAAATAGGCGTTAGTGTCCTAGAGTTACTTGCAGTCATTGCTGGTGACTGGCTGTAGTGCCAGTGCCAGCGTCTTTGCTGAGGAATCCAACTATGATTAATGATTACTTCACTGATGTTCACCATCTAAGAATCTAAGAAGTAAACATGTGCTAGAGTCCTTTGACTTCTCAACTTCTCTTTCCAAGGACAAGTTAAAACATTTAGTTTTGGGGTTTGTTGGATAGTGCTTAAAAACCAAATTAAGGGAAACATATTTTACTTTTACTGTAACTGAGAAAGACCTAAAAGCTTCCTATGAAAATCATTTTGCCTTGGCACCTTTTACATAACACCCAAATCTTAGGAATTTAATTTATGTAGGATAACCGTGTAAAATTGGGAATTAATATAAGACAAAAGAGATGTTCATAAAAAACAAACAAACAAACAAAACCACCCCAAAAAACAACAATAACAAAAAGGCAGGCTCTTCAAAACCAAAAAATTCTTCTAATGACTGTTTGTTTGAACAAAAAATAGAATCCTGACTGATTTTCTGTAAAACATTAGTTTCCATTCTAATGAGGTCTAGTTATTTTTCCATGTGACTGTTCATGTGGTAACCTCACATACATAGGTGTGAAAAGAAATTAGTGACTGAATGAGCGATCAAAAGTATATGTCATAGCAGTGTTCTAGCATTGAAACCCTTCCCTCTTTGGAAAACTTTATTCTTGATCTTGCTGACTTTAAAGAAATGCCTCAAGTTTAGGAGCATTTAGTCACTGATAATCCAAAGCCATCAAGAAATCAGTGTTATTTAAATTACTAGAGGGTTCCTGCTTTTAAACACAAAATTTTGTTTAAATTAAAAATACTCCCATGTACTTAAAACTTTTAAGAGTTAAATATATAAATGACAGAGAAGAATATAATTTATATTGGTATGGCTATATTATATTATATAAAAATAAATTTATATTTATATTGGGTATCACCTAAGGTACACCTTTAGTTTCAAAGGCATAATTGCCTTGGCATAGCTATAGATCTGCTGTGCCTAGTGGCAAAACTATAAATTTAAGAGTAGACACCTTAGGTGAATGTGACTGCCACAGACCTGGAGGTAAGGCATTGAAGTAACTTGTAGGCAGAACGCTATCCTAGTTGTGGGGGAGAATGGGGAACTTCAATTTCTTATTCCCCCAAAATAATAACTTTGATCTGCTTTTCTCTCAGTGGATTAAGGAAGCTATTCCATATAGCCTAAAATGTTGATATTCAGCCTGATGTTTCTCTCCACTTAGCTTTCACTCTTGAAAAAGTATAATTTTATTATAATTTGAAATTAGATGGCTTGAATGTAGAAGACAGAGAAGATTTCTTTCGTAGCCCAGTTCAAGACCGTCCTGATTTTACAGCTTCTTGTTAAAGGGGTGACCACATATATCCCACAAATATGAGTGTAGTTTAAAACAGGTAGATTACAATTGGGGATTTTTTTGCTGTAAGAAAAGAAATGGTGCTTGTTTATGATGCTGAGTTTTCAATGCTATATTCACAAACTATTAAGCTGGAAGAATCATACGGTTAATATTATCCAGTTCCTTTGGACAAGAGGAAACTGAAGCTCCTGGATATTACCTGCTTTGCCCACGATCACAAAGCCAGTTTGTGGCAGCTCTGGGACAGGAACCCAATTCTCCTTTCCAGCCTGTTCTCTGACATGGCACAGTGCTGCCTTTGTTCTGAACTGCTCATTTAATTTTTCTTTAAATTTAATTTTCCCTATTTCCAATACCCAAGTAAATTTTTGCAAGCAGCAGGACAGTAAGACAACTTGCTACTGAACTTTTTAGCAAATGATTCATTTCCCTAGACCATTTCTTGTGGAGTAGTGTGCTCTCACCAGCAAAGAAGAAAATGTGTTCATTCAGAGGCATGTCTGACTTTCCTCCTGCACTGTAATCACATAATGAAAGGTTCTTTCATAATGTCCCTGTACAAGAGGCAGAGATAAAACCAGCTTTGAGGCATGTAAGTCGAGACCCTTCAAGAGTGAGCAGTGCACACAACCTTATCTCACAGCTTCCTGACTAGTTGGTGTATGTCTAGGTTTCAAGCTTGATGTTTTGCTGATGTAGAGCTTTTGCTTGTTACATTTAGTTGGTCCTCTTTTCATGGATATCTGATACCCAGTGCCAACTGATTTTTTTTTAAAAAACTTCCTCTACCTGAAATATCAATGTTATGTTTCCCCTAATATTTCTAAAAAGAAACTTCTGGGTAGAGTTTTCATACCTGCTTTCTTCCTTCTACTAATTACTGTCACAGAAATCATATGAATAAGAATAATTTCCAACTAGTAGAAATTAGCTATTTTTAAAACTGCTTTAGATTCTGTTGTATCTTTTATGATGTACAAGGCTAACTGCCTTGATACATTCCCTCAGTGTCTTTTGTTACTGTTTTAGATTTTCTTTAATGGACTACAAATGGGATGTACATTTACTAACATTCATAAGTCTTAAAGAAATTGCCTTTTGTATTTTCTTTCACCAAAGTTTAGTTTTTAAAAAATTGTAAGTATGAATTGGCTTATACTTAATGCAAGTTAACTTTTTTAAGTTTTGAAATGAAGTTGAGCATGTAACCACATCATTTGGTCACCTGTTTATTGACTGCCTTACTATAAGGGTATTGTGGGAACATAAAGAAATATAATACGCGGTTCTCTTTACTATATAGATAAGAGGTAAATAAAAAATCTATTTACATTTGTCTTTTGTGGGCTTTTTGCTTCACATGAGCATTTAGATTTCCTAATTAGTCTGTTGGTGAATTACAGATGCCTGGAGACATGGCCTGTAGCTGTCCTCCACTGTGGAAATTTACACCCTATAAAACCATAAACCATGTTAATTTTCCTATAGAGGTAGGTTTTATGAAAAGGTAGAAACAGGATGTGCTAAATTTAAAGAGACAAGTGACTAGAATTTCACTAGAACAGAAATCAATGTCTCTTTTTAAAAATTTTTACCTTAATTCCCTTTCAAAAATCCTGAGATGCATGTTATTTATTAAAAATATATTTTGTGAAGATATCCAGCTTTTTGTGAACTTTAAATAGGAACTCAGTAGCATCGCTGAGAACGATGGCATCAGTAAAAAGGCAGTTCAATTGGAGTTTTCAGAGGACTTTTTCATTTTTAAAATTAAAAATTCTGATTTTTGGGGCCGGCCCGGTGGCGCACTGCTACAGTGCGCCGCTTGGGAAGCGCGGCGGTGCTCCCGCCCGAGGGTTCGGATCCCACATACAGACCGGTTCCCGCTCACTGGCTGAGCGAGGCGCGGGAGCAACACCGAGGGTTGCAATCCCGTTGCCGGTCCCTGGTCTGGTACGGGGGCAACACTGAGGGTTGCGATCCGTTGCCGGACACGGAAAAAGACAAAAGACCAAAAAAAAAAAAAAAAATTCTGATTTTTGTTATTAATTTTATAAGTTGTTTAAGTCAAATCTGTTCTCTGTAGTCTGATTATCAACTGAGTGAGTGTCAGCATGGCCATCTGTCCAGCTGCTCATAGACCATACTGCCCTGTGAACTCCTCCTCCCACTCTTTGTAATTGGGCTCATCCCTACCTTGCAGCCCTATCTTTCACAGTTTTCTAGTGTGAAACCTCTAGATCTTTCAGGAAGGTTTGCTAACTCTTGCCTGTGTATGCTGTGTTCATTCATATAAAAAGAACCCAGCCAGTGTCTGATAGGTAGCAGGTACTTAATAAATGTGTATTCATTCATTCTAGCCTCCTAGCCTCTTCTCATGTTACTAACCCTCTTCCATTTTGGTCCACACAAGTATATCCTGTTCAAGGTCTAGACACAAAGCCTTTTCTCATTATTCCAGTGCAGAAGGATCTTTTATTTCTTGGGACTGTTATGCTTCTAATGGGTACCATCCAACATATTGGTTTTCTCTGCCAGCCTGAACTGAAAGCCTACTGAGGACAGACATCTTGTTTCAGTCTTCTCTACCTACCCATCACTAAGCTGCTAAGCATTTGGAAAGGTGCTAAAGAAATACTTCTTGTCTGATTAACAGGAATTTTATGCTCTCCTCAAAGAGAAAATTCATAAGAAGCCTGGGTATTACCTATGTGGGTTTGTTGGGAGATTTTTTAAGTGTAAAGTGAAATGAGGAAAAACTGTCTACATCTCACTTTTGGCCGCAGAACATCATTCTGATTTCTGAGGCTAGGAGTACATAGAGTTGAGGTCCATCCTTAAGATCATCCACTGCTTACATTTGAGGTCTTTGATTTTATTATATGCTTTTTGGTTTAGGCCCCTTTGAAGGGAGTTAGGATATAGGAAGCAATGAAGATCTGAGCTTTGCCTAAGGAGTAGATTGTGAACTATTGCAAGTCCACAGAGAAGTACTTTGCCAGTAACATTTATGTTTTCCTAAAGTATTTTTTAATATCTTTAACATTTTGGGGAAAAAAAATTAAGGAAGTTAGGAGACTCCATCTCTGTGACTTCTGTTTTTATTTTCTGTGATTTGAAACACCTTCTCAGAAATCTTCTTTTATTTCTCTGATAATAGAAATGATGGTCATAACAATTGTCCAACTGGTGTTTTTCAGGTCCTCATTTTGTAGGATTATTGAGCTTCAGATCTATTTTGGGGGTTGAATTCAGATTTGAGCCTTGATAATTCTGTTCAAATAGATACTCTGAAATTACCATATTGAAGATAAAATAAGGCTTACCCTGACTGTTGCTTTGACAACTAGTAGTATTATGACTTTAAAAAATATTAAAGTGAGAAGTATTATCAGATTTTTACAGGAAAACTTGAGCTGAAGAACATGTCACTTTTTGGGATATTGGAGTGTTAGAATAAAAAGAATCCATTTTATACTGCTTTTCTGCTTCTTTGTTGGTCTTGTATCTGATTCTTATTTCTCTAACTGTATCACTCGTTATATCTTTATAATCAGATATACTTTGAGTGTAGATTATGTCTTTATTTTTCCTGTATTTAGAACCCTAGACAGAATTCATATTGAACTGAATGGGATTATAGGTTATGGGCTGATTTAATACAACCTACAAGGTGTAAGTAATATTATTCACAGCTTATAGATGAGGAGACTGAGACATTTGCCCACGGTCACACGTTTAACTACTCATACTGTTTATTATCTCTAATGTATGCAGTATACTAATATAGTCACCATGTTGAGGTAGAAGATGCTTCTAGGTAAGCATATCTGAGATATCTTGAGGCAGCTTGCTTTTTTACCTTTCTGTGATTGACTGGGGAGGCCTGGATCAAGAGAAAGGTGATTATAGCTTTGTTCCTAAGTTTTGTACAAAACCTAGATTTTCTAAAGCCGATAACCACCAAATCTAATGATATAGAAGCCCAGTCAGTTTGACCAATTTAACAGTCAATTCTGTTAAAAAACCTTAGCAACCAATTCTCAGGTTTTTTTTCTTTAAAATAAATTGTCATATTTTTTATTCATCTAATTTTGTGTGGAGAAAGACAACTTGTGGAAAAGCAATTGTGTGGAATTCTGGCTAATTCCATAGTTCTGACTCAATGTGAAGCCTATTAGTTTTTCAGGAGGCCATTTGTGCTTAATCTTATATTGCTGTTAACATTTTTTATGTGTCTAAAAGGTAATTAATGGGTATTGAGTTTCCGTTTGGTAAGATGAAAAAATTCTGTAGATGCATGTTGATGATGGTTGTAGATGCACTTGATACCTCTAAACTGTACACTTAAAAATGGTCCCAATGGTACATTTTATTTTATGTACATTTTACCATAATAAAAAATGGAAAAAAAATTTTTTTAAAGGCAATTTTCTCATCTAGACCTATGTGTATGAGTTTTGTCACTTGTGTGATTTGCTATTGGGGTGGATAGGCGCTAACAGAGTGCACAGTGAGGCGTGAAGCTGGCAGAGGGAGGCAGTCCTAGTATAGCAGTTAAAGATGGCCAGCTCTGGAGCCAGTCTGCCTGGGTTCACATCCTGGCTCCACCACTTGCTGTGTGACCTTGGGTAAGTTACTTAACCTTTCCTCGGTTTCCTCATTGTGAAGTAGAGATAAGAGTAGTACTTATTTTATGGAATTATTGTTAAGGACTAAATGAAATACTATAAAAATGCTTAAAACACTACCTGTCACGTGGTAAGTGCTAAATGGGTGGACATGTAGACCTGGGTTCTAAATGATATTACGGATGTAAATACATCTATAAATAAAAGCATAACGTGAACATTTGTTTTTGACTTTTTTTTTTAAGGTAAAAGAAATAGGAGATTACTTTAAACAACATCTTTTACAGTCCAGACACAGAGGAGCATTTGAACTGGCTTATACTGGTTTTGTGAAACTCACTGAAATACTGAACAGGTAAAACAAGTATCCTTTTGTGTACACTTTTAAAAGACTAAATGTACAAACCATGCTCTTGGAGCAGAATGTAGTTATGTCTTTTGATGTTTAAAAGAATAAGACTTGGTTGGCTACAAAACTCCTGGAAGAAATTGTCTTAGGTTTCATTGTATGATTTACTGCAGATGATTGAGTGAAATGTCCAAACCAAGTTGCTCCCTCATTGAAAGGTGATTTGAAGCAAACTCAAAGATTTTTACTAAAAATAGCTTTGATATTACTGTTTCTTTTCATTGAATGAAATGAATGTTTTGTGTGTTTGAAAATTACCTGGCATTTGGAATAAAACAAGCCTTGAAGTTTTTTGAATTTGTATGTATTACAGTCAGAGAAACACTTAAGGATTTTGTCTTTCTCTTTGTAATTTCATCTTTTAGAAAAATTTTTTTTTTTTTTGTCTTTTGTCTTTTTCCGTGTCCGGCAACGGATCGCAACCCTCAGTGTTGCCTCCGTACCGGACCGGGGACCGGCAACGGGATCGCAACCCTCGGCGCTGCTCCCGCGCCTCGCTCAACCAGTGAGCAGGAACCGGTCTGCATGTGGGATCCGAACCCTTGGGTGGGAGCGCCGCCGCGCTTCCCAAGCGGCACACTATCCAGTGCGCCACTGGGCCGGCCCTAGAAAATTTTAAAATAATAGTAAGTAGACCAAAAAATATAAAAGAGATTTTTTCTTACCTGGAAAAATAGTTAGATTTCATATATTTAACCTAATGTATTTTTTGACATTATAGTTGCTGATAATTTTATTCAGTCATATAATACATTTTCTCCAAAGAGCTGGTGAGGAAATCTTAAATTACTTAATGACTAAGTGTTCATGGCAAGTGTTCTCTAAATAAAAGGTACTATTTTCCAGGAAAACATTTCCCTTGCCTGGAAACTTTTTGAAATGAAGCAGAGTTCTGCCAGCCTTGTAGCCTCAGCAAACACTTTATTTTGGGCTGTTAAGACTTCTACTCCTTGAACATTTTTGAAACCTTTTTTTCACACTCCTGGTAAAAACATTTATAAGACATTTTGGCAGTTATGGGCTGCACAGAATGTCTTTATTTTTATTATTATTATTTTTTTCCCTTTTTGTCTTTTTTCGTGACCGGCAACGGATCGCAACCCTCAGTGTCGCGCCTGTACCGGACCGAGACCGGCAACGGGATCGCAACCCTCGGTGTTGCTCCCGCATCTCGCTCAGCCAGTGAGCGGCCGGTCTGTGTGTGGGATCCGAACCCTCGGCGGGAGCGCTCCCGCGCTTCCCAAGCAGCGCACTGTAGCAGTGTGCCACCGGGCCGGCCCTGCACAGAATGTCTTTAAATGATAATTTTAAAATGTCCCTGACGTTAAACTGCTGATCTTAAAAATATTTTATCTTTTCAACTCTTTGTTTCCAGTGTAGACTTATGAATATTTTTTTTTCATACAATGCAACACACTCTACTCCCTGCAAAGCAATTAACAAATATATATTGAATATTAGCTGTATGCTGAGTATGGTGCTTGGTTAGGAGGATATAATACTTCTTTTTTGTGACATGGTTCCTACTATTAAAGAGCTTATGGTTTAGTTTGGGAAATAAGTGGGATGAAATTCAAAATATTTAACAAAAGATATGTTATGGGCACTGACTGGTTAGAACAGACCCTGGCTGGAAGCATCAAGCATCTCTGTATATATGGATGTGTGTTGGCTGAATACCAGCCTGGAAAGTACTACCAATATATTTGAGCAAGATAAAAACTGCCAAATTTTGGTTGAAATTTACAAATATTGTAGGAACAGCAGAGAGAGAGCAAGCAACAGGCACAGGCTGGTAGGGCTTCGTGGAGGAGGTGCTCCATGGCTAATGCATGAGTAAGGTTTAAATAGAAAGGAGGAGAAAGAAGGAAACGTGAGTACATGTTCAGAGGCTAGAATCAGCATGGCTTATTGTTAGGTGGGTGAGTAAATAAGCCAGTCTTCCTGTAGTGGTGATGGTGGTGGTAGTGGGGTTAGTAGAAAATACCAAACAAATAGATAGATTGAGGCCAGTTATGGAGTACCTTGAAAGTAAATTTGCTGTGGGAGGACAAAGAGAAACATCAATCATTTTTTATCTGAAATAGATCATAGGAGGCATCATAGAATAAAGGAATAGAAGTAATCATTGACTACTCAAACTCTTAGTACTATGTATATTCATTCCTTTCATTGGTAGTGAGATTGTATAAAAATTAACCCTCTTAGCCTCTGATCTTTTCATCTCTGAATTAAGGAAAAGAATATGTCCCTATTGACAGATTTCTCTGGCTTTTGTTGTATGGATCAAATGAAATAGATATTTATGAAGATGCTTTTGCGTTATAGAATTTCCTATAAATATAAAACATGGGGTTGTTGTTGATTGTGGGGTTGGTTTGTAAAAGCAATTTTTCACTTGTATATGTTAAGTTGGATAGATTGTAATAATAGATTACAGTGAGGAGACCCTGGAATCAATTATAACAATCTAGATCTGGGTGATGAGGGCCTCCTTTATGATGATGGTTCTGGAAATGGAGACAAAGATGTGGTGTTTCAGTTAACATTTGGCCCATGTAGTAACAATTCCACACATGACATATTGAATTCTTAGAATGGAAGCTGTGGACATATTTGATTACAGTTCATGATTTTATTTGTCAAGAATTAGGGCAGGGCTCTGCTGGACGATTCCTCCCTTCAGGGTATTTACTCAGTTTGATTGGTGGCATTCAGCTGGCAGATGAACTGGTCAGGAGGGATCCAACACAGTTTCATTCACATTAATAGAACCTTGGTGGGGTTAGCTAGAAGACTAGACCTAGTTGGGACTACATGTGGCCTCTCAGCATGGCATTCTTGGGGTAGTTGAAATTCTTATATGGCAGCAGGCATTCCCAAGAGGGAGTATTCCAATAGATCCCAGCAGAAGCTGTATGTTTTTTTCTGACTTAGCCTTGGAAGACTCAGCATTGCTTCAGTCATGTTCTTTTGGTTATGAGTGAATCTTTAGACCAGCCTGGATTCAGTCCACCTTTTGATGGCAAAGTGGCAAGATCATGTTATAGAAGTATATGTGGATGGGAGCTATTGTGGTGACTGTCTTTGAAAAACGCAATCTGCCGCATGAGCCAACTGAATGTGAGTGATAGAGGTCACTAGGGAGTTCTTAGTTGCTCCTGTTGTTTTAAGTCTTCGTGAATAGAAAAATGGGATTGATGTTAACAAAGCCAAGGAAACTGAAAGAGGTGATTGGTTTTATAAAGATGAATAAATTTGTTTTGCATGTGTTTAGTGTGGGATAGTGATGACATATCCTGGTGGAAATATTTAAGTTAGCAGTTGGAGATGGGGGATTAGTTTGGGTGATATAACAGAAACAGAGATGTAGATTTGTGGGTTGTCAGCATAAACATCATAGTAGGACTGCGGTCTTTAAGGGAGAGCATAAAAAGAGAAAAGAGTAGAGGACCAAGGACAGAGGCTTGTGAACAACTGTGTTTGAATGGTAAAGTTGAAGACATTCCAAAGCAGAATGAGGACCAGGGAGGACCCAGTGCCTGGTATCTCAGCCACTCCTAATCTCCTTTAAAGATCTCCTAATGCCTGTCATTATTGGCTTTTAACCAACCTGTTATAAGTTCTCAACTGTTGCTCCCAAACCAAGTGGGTCTTGATTCCTTTGGAGACATTTCAAATCTGCTGAACAGACTGTTTTACAGAGAACAATCTTTACAATGTGTTTGGCTTCCTTTTGTTTGTTTTTTATTTTTAAAAGAAAATTTGTTTCTTTTGGACTCCTTTTGAAAGCTTTTTATGAGGTTTTAAGTTATAAAAAAATTGTTTAGGCATACAACATTTAAAAAGTTTGCAAAAAGAAATCTGGGCATTCATGAAAATCCACAGAAACAGAGGCCAACTGCTGGCCACCTATTGGACTACAGCTGTTCTAAGGAAGGAAGCTCTTAAAGAGATTAATGGATAAATAACTGAAGAGTTAAACATGAGCCACATTGTTTGAATGGGTTTTTAACAGGATTATTCAAAATGTCTTCAAATGTAAACTGACTTCACCATTAAACAATCATCTAAGAATAAATAAGAATGGGAGACATTATTCTTTTTTCTGGGAATCTTTTGAAAGCAATGCTTGCACAAGCATACACATATACAAACAATATGTTGAGTTAATTTTCTGTAATCTGGTTTTCTTATACAGTGCTTTCTATTTGGAATTTGATGAAATATTCATATTCTCTTTAAAAAACATGTAATTAATTACCTGCCTAAGTATTTGGTTGGAGCAGCTAATAAGTACATTAAAGTCATAACTCTAAATTCAAGTTTGTGATGAAATTCATTATTTGCTTGCTTACTGTCTTTGACCTTAGTATTTGAAGTCATTCTTTCAATTAAAATGAACAGATTCTAAGTTAGGGTGTTAAGTTGGGGAATCTTTCACTTGTCCAACCATAAATTAAAAGCTTAGCTATAATGGGATGAAATTGTTGACTATAATTCTAAATATAGAAGGGAGGCTCATGAGTATTTGATGTTGTCTTACTCTTCATATATTTGTTCTGATTATCGAAATGTAGTTTAACCTACAAATATGAGTATTTCTTGCAATAATTACAATCATTTTCACATTATTGGCCTGAAAAAGTAAACTGTTAACATTTAGCAGTTTTTGTCATAAAATGCTAGTGTTGACTCATGGATATCAACAATTATGGTGGACAGGAGTAATTTAAATATGTAAACTTTCATCAGTTAATTATAGCTACTGCAATTCAATTTCAACAGAAAACCTCTCATGAGCAATTGAAATATAACAGTGAAAAAATAATTTCCTCTACTTTTCTGGAGAATAAAAGACCAAATCTCTAAAGAATATTCAGTTGAACAGGAAATAAATGTAGAATGTACTAGTTGAGATTTGTGAAAGAAGTGATTCAACTCTG